AATCATTTATTTCAAACACATTGGGTTTATTTACAAACCAAACAGACCACATCGCACCATAAAATAGAAAATAACATTTGTACAAGATTTAGCCAAAAGTGGCTGTGAATGTGGGAGGTAGTAACTGATAGACCAGGCATAACTCAAGAATGGTAAATCGTATAATAATAGTCTATGGGTCAAAATAAAGCTCATAATAAGAGGAACACGGATATGAATAGTTTAGTTAATTAACAATTATATGATAGAAATATACTCATAATATTGGTCCATAAATTATATTTCCGACATTTCGTGATTCCATTTAGTCCACTTCTTCAGAGTAAATAAATAACCGAAATAAAATTAATACAAGTTCATATAGTACAAAGGAAACAATGCAGAATATTTTTAGTGTAATGAAAATCATAATCGGTCTGAACATATCAGTGCTAAGTTATTTTTGGCAAGCTGAATTTGTATGACCTGTCACTGCATTAATTTGTACGTCAAAAGGTGGGTTTAAAAGGTGTATACATTTGTAGTATTAAGTAGTGAGGCTGGGAGTAGATGTATATATATAGATTGTGTGGAAATAAATATGGTCTAGTGTGGTTGCTTGTATAAACAGTCCACATTGAATATTCAGGCTTTCCTGATCAGGCAGAATAATTTAGCATTATATGAAACGGTTCGTCTACTCGCCTCTCATTATAGTTGGGAAAACCTTTCCGAATTATTTTGATTTTTTTAATATGTTTGTCGATTATTACTGGTATTGTTGACTTATTTTGTAAATTCCCCAATTCTACAGTATTATTAGGTCTTTTTGTGTAACTTGAGTGTTCCTTGGCACAGGTCGGCATCACAGTTGACACAATCTAACCTGTAAACACAATTTTGTGTAGAAGTGAATGGGATCTTTTATTCTAACTAAAGCGTTTCTTAGAGTGTTAGTTATCTAGTAGAAGGTTTTAATGTTGTAAATTTTCAATATCCCTTTTGATTCTTCTGTCGTATCTTGGCGGTAAGGTAAAACCGCAGTATCAATCCAAGATCCTTCTTTAGGATTGTTATTTACAGAAAAAAAGTTTTGTTTCACAATGGTTTTAATAATATTCTGGAGAAAATTATTAAACCATAAGATGTTTGTTATATTCTCACTTTCTCTTAGCTTGTCTTCTTTTGAAGTAATGGTCTTGGTTACTCTTTAAAATCCAAGCTATTAGTTGATTTTATCATGTATTGGTCTTTTTTTTAAAACGCTACTACTAAAATGCTTTTCTCGCTTCACCTTTTTTTCTTACACTAAAACTTATTATCTGGATTCTCTCAATCATTAAAACACGTTGTGATATTTTCATGCTTGTTGTTGTATGAGATGAGACGAAAACTTTCGATGCTACTTTTGTACAATTTTATTTATGTATATATTGATTGAATGCTTAATAAATATTTTGGGTTTATTATTTTCATATTACCGTAACAACAAGTATCTATTTGAACCGTACATTGTTGTTATGGCATTTTCCACTGATAAACTAAAACCGATTATTTTCGTACCCAATTCTCCCTTTTTTCCCATCATTCATTTTGTTATTCGGTGTTAATTCTGTTACTCAATTGGTCTACTGTGCCCTCTGGTCTTGCATGTCTGAAATATAATAGTGATCTTAGACTGATGATCATTAGTCTTCTATTCCTTCTCTTCGTTCGAGTCCAGTTGGTGTCGGATCAAGCATCATTATCGACTATCGATCGCCTTGTCCTTGTTTTGTATTAATTGATTAAGGTCGTCTACCCTTATTGGTCGGTTGTAGGACATAACAGCATATGTATGTATATCTACATTCTAAATGAGGACTGTTTGTCATCACATGAATTGATGATTTTCAAGCTGGAAATACTCATTATTATTCTAATATTTTACAGTCTAATTAGCATACATTTAGTAAATTATATGAAATCTATAATTAAAACCATCTAATTTTACTAATTTAAGTCAATATTATTGAAAACACTAAATAATGATCATTAATTTTAGTTCACATATTACAAAATTTAAGATCAAGTAATAATGCTTGTCGCTGAATAGTTGATAATATTATACTCGAATTACTTGAATGTATATCTTTTCTAACGTTTTCAAATTCTTAACTCTGTACTACATCAACTAATATTGAAATAAACTCAGTGTTAACATCCAGTTTAAAAGCCTCAGTTGTCAAACAAGTAACCTTAACCTTCCCCCCCCGCCCGGCTTATAAGAATGATCATTAAACTGTTATCAGAATCTGACTGAAGAGATTGTTTATTTTTACGTTCATTTACAAGTTGATTGTTTGTTTGTTTATTATTTAGAGTTTAGTTAAACTCAATTATAATAAAACTTTGAAGTATAAATTCTTTATTTATCTTTTAATTTAATGTTAATTATTCAATGTTTATGGTTATAATATCATATTTTATTAAACTATGTATATAGAAATAGTTAAACGGTTCTATATTTCTTTAATAAAATCTCTTAGTTACCCTTTCATCATTTGAAGTGAAAGTCTTATAGTTTAGGTATGAATTGTGATATATTTGATAACAATTCATAAATAAAATGAATTTGGTTATTGTAATTCATTTATCAATATTATTAATAATCATTGTTACTAGAATGGATTAATAAATAGAAGACTAATATTTGAACGAAGAATATTCTTCTCGATAAATTCTCTTCAGGTTCTACAATTATATCATCAAACCTTTGTTTAACCACGCTGGAAGGTGTTCACGAGCACGAAAATGTAAATTCCTAGAACTTCGACCAATATAACTCGCTCCACAGGAGCAGTTGAACTGATAAATACAAAATGAGGTGGTCATTCTAGGTAATTCATCTTTTAGCTTCGGTGTAACCATTGGGCGCGTAGAAAATACTAATCGCAGTTCTCCGGCGTTAAAAGACTTCTGTATTGTCCTACGTAGTCTCTGAGTTAGTATTTCGCTAGCCGCATCCCTTCTGAATTGTAGACGCATGAACAAGGATTTCTTCTTAGTTAAATCTTAACATTATGTTATTTAATTGTCATATCCCGACGAGAATTATGAATGGTAACACTTGAGAACTATTTATGAACCAATACGATACATATATTTTTATTGTATATTTATTAAGTCGCTAAACTATGCATGTTACTATTATCATAGGCTTTATTTTGACCCATAGACTATTATTATACGATTTACCATTCTTGAGTTATGCCTGGTCTATCAGTTACTACCTCCCACATTCACAGCCACTTTTGGCTAAATCTTGTACAAATGTTATTTCCTATTTTATGGTGCGATGTGGTCTGTTTGGTTTGTAAATAAACCCAATGTGTTTGAAATAAATGATTGATATCGCGGAGTCTGATATTGGTGTTCTGGACTCTTTCAGGCAGTGCTGGGTGGGAAGTAGGATCGATAAGGAATCTAGACTGCTCGTATGGGTTTTATGCATCATTTGTTCTGTCGATAAATCACTGTTCTCTAATTGACGGTATCCTTACGTTATATAGTAATAGGGCACAAGGCCACAAGATATAACAAATTCGTAGTACTGATGGAATAATGCTTAAATCCAGGTTTGCTATGTGACTTAAGTAGTTCAGTATTAAAGTCTTTACCAAAGTATTTTGAAGATTCAAGCTTCAATCTCGTGAATTAATTCTGATTTCTTCAAAATGGTGATACACCTTATTGTGATAGAAATTAGCTAACATATAACATAGGTATAAATTTTCTTGCCGGTTACCTACAAATCTGCAATATAATTTGGGTTTTTTTTAAAAATAATTACAATTTACTGTAATTCGGTTTGTGAATACGTGTTATGTTTGCTATCCTAAGAGATGGTGGAGAAGATTTGTAGCTCAGGTGGATGATTTTGATAGAGTTTTGTTCTCTGAGCTGGATGGTTTAGTCGTGGAACTTTCATCGTTATTCTGAACGACATCATTAGCACCAACTTCAAGTAGAAGTGAAGTGTTCAAATTTCTCCACATGTGACTCGCAGTTTGTCGTGTAGACGTCGATATAGATTGGTTATTGTTGACCTTAAACCTGTCATTGTTTACTTTTTGTTTTGATTGGTTTGGGATATATATATTTCAAACAAATAATCTTTATAGAACCAAGCTGGGATATGTTCCCGTATCCGAGTTGAAAGCGAGCGCTGGCTACGGCCAATGTACCTTACTCCACAAGAGCACGTGAACTTGTAGATGCACATAGAGGCGACCAGACGCGGAAGCTTATCTTTTATGGATACATCAAGATGATCTATCATTGATGATTAGACGTATTAACTAGCTATTTTGTTATTCTACTTCAAGTCTTAAATACAGTAGTAATTTTACTTCCTTCGGTTTGTTCGGTCACTACTTTTTTTCTCATTTGCTTCACTCCTTCACTTTTTCGTTTCTTGTGTTATTTTTAGTTTTTCCTCTCATTGTGCCATTGTGTAGTGTATGTAAAATGTGGTTACTTAGATCAAAACATATTTGCGCCATGCACCACCTGTCTATCATCTATCTGCCTGTCTAGTCTCCCAGTACATCGTAAATAACCATCTCGTATAAAGTATGTTATCATAAACATTTTTTATATTGAATTCGATTTACGTGTATTAATATGCGATTCAAGTATCAGACAAATTATAATCAATTCGATTGGTAGTAATAATTTTTCTGAATTGAAGAGATATATATTAGCACTTAATTTTAATTTGGTAAATCCAGGAACTTTTCAGAAAAAGAACTGACGGTGAACCAGTAAAGTAACAGAGCTCGCTAGACCGAAAACAGACTGTAAGGAAGATATATATATATATATATCAATTCAGTTACTGGGAAATAGGTTCATCGCAAACAGAATGAAACACACCTTCTAGATTACACTGCCAGTTACCGTACATCTACTCTAAGAAACTTGTCTAACATCCGTTTATTTCTCATAATTCAATTTTATCCTCTCTTTCTTGTCCTCAGGTCGAAATGCGTAATTATGGTGAATTTTTCAGTGGAATTTGTGGATTTTTTGTAGTTGATGATTTTATTCGTCATACATTATCTGGTTCATCAGTATTTTATCAAACATATTTAGATGAATTATGGGTACATACAGTGAATCGTTTAATAGATTTTGTGCATGTTAATGCAAAATCATGTGATTCACCGAATGATTTAATTAAATTAAAAGATTATTTAATTATTTTTGAAAGAACTATGCAAAATTTAGGCTTCCCAATAACTGGTCTAACTGAAACAATTGGTATTGTCCAGCGGTACTATCATAGACTATTAGCTAGTCAATGGAAGTCTAAGTAAGTGAAATTAATTTGAAAAATTTTTTCTATGAAACATATAATGTTGCTAGTCTGTTATTTAAACGTCTAAATATAATGGTTTTTTATTGTCCTATTTTACAACAAAATATCGTAGTTACAAGTTATAAACGATTGGGATATCCTTCTAATATGAATCATAATCTACACGAACTAGATAAGTCGGATCACCAATACACTATAACACTTCAATATTAATGATGCATGCACAAATACGAGAGGGAGAGAATGAGAATTTCAGAAGAGTTTTTATATTTCCAACAAAACTTAAAATTATCAAGCAACTTTGTAGATATAGCAACAAATATTACCTTGAGATGTATAGTAAACTAAATGCAAAATAACCAATCAGATACCATCAGAGATCAGTGAGAAAATATAAATACAAAAAAATTACTGCGAGTTTCCTTACATGTCATACCTGCTTTTTTCAGCAGAAAGAAAGAAAAACTACGTGTTTCTAAGTCTTCTTAATAGTTATACTTTTTTCACTCTCCTTTTGAAGAATATGAATTATGGGTAAAGTTGTGTGGAATTATGTGCTTTAAACCTGTAATAGCAAATAGAAATGAAACGTTTATCTGCAATTTCGAGAGAGGAAACAAGCGTTTACATAAACTCGTAATTTATAGTGAGACTATAAATTAAAAATGACCTTTAGAATGTCCATCTACTAATTAGGACTAAATGATGGTTATAAACCAGTGTAGAAATTAGAATTAAGATTTACAGTTGATGACTAGAGTTAGGATATAAATTTAGGGATTTTATCACAATCTGACATCAGCTAAAATGCCAAAACTCTATTTGGCCAAACGGATAAATGGATTTCACGCCTTGACTTTTCATCGTAAATATGATTTCGTCCATAAAATATATTCTCGCCAAATTCGTATTTCATATCTTTAATTTTTTATTTCATTTTGAAAAAAAAATTAATTGATCAAGATAATATCAAGGTTATTTCGTAATTTTTTCAGTGATTTGAAATTCTTAAAATTTAATATGCTTCTATAATTTGACTAAAGAATATGAAATTGACACACCACATCCAATAGTTCGGCTCTACACCAACTTTGATTAACTAAAGACGAAGGAGCACAGCACTTAATCAGTTGATCATAGAGATTTCCAAACTGAGTATTGATGGCCAATATAGATATTTGTATCATTGAGACGGAAACATTAAAACCCGAGAGAAAGTGCCTGCTTTTGACGAGCAGATAATACAATGGAGGAAAAATTAGTGACACATTTGTCAAGATTGAGTGGAAACAAGTTACTGACATGATTATTATTGTAGGGTTTTTCAAGTTTTTTTTCCGATCCTTTTTTCTTTTTTGATGTGATGGTGCTGCAAGAACTGATGAATTTAATACGGCAAATATTATATCCTAAGCCCCATCAAATATCATGTGACAAATTTGCCAGTCAGAACACCGACCTACATGACCTAGTCACTGTGCTAAACAAAATGATACGTTAATCAGCACGAGCAGCCCTGAGTCATCTCTGAGTTCTTATTGATCCTCTGTGTTATAGCTTCTCGCCTAACACAACCCGTTAGGTTCCAAAACACAAATATCAGTCTCCATCATATGGATCGTATATTTCAGACATAAGTGGTTTATATACCATGAAATGAAATATAATAATTATAAAGGATCAAGCCAAAAGTCGCTGTGAGTGCGGGAGACTTTAACTAATAGATTGAAAATACCTTGAGAATAGTAAATCGTATAATATTAGCTAATACTTCAAATGAAAACTTATAATAAAAGAAATATAAATATATGTAATCTAGTTACTTAATAGTTAAATAATAAGAACATATAATAACAGTTCATAAACAATTCACTAAAGTTACCCATACTTTAATCTTCTTTCGGATATAACGTCAAACTACAGACATTTTTGTTAATGTAAATAATGCTTGAGCATAGAGTTCAGTGAAGTTGATCAGTTTTCTTTGATAGTTAGCTATTTGTGGTTTAGTCAGTTGAATTAGATTTGAGATATTTTATTGAGGTTTACTTAGAAGTAGATGCATATCTAATTGGTTTAGGGGATTTGTGGCTTGAAAAACAAGATTTATTAAAATCTAGTTTGACTTGTTCTCATACAGTTTCTTTCTCTAGCCCACTTAGGTACGCACTCAACTGTCGTTACTTGCAGATAACGATTTCTCCTACCTATGTGTGTGTAACCCCACGTACACATTCTTAAACCGATTTTCGCAGCACCGTAATGTTGAAAAAGAAAAAAGAGATCGGAAAAAACTTGAGAAACCCTACAATAAAAATAATCATGTCGGTAATTCGTTTCCAGTCAATCCTGATAAATATGTCACTAATTTTTCCTCCATTGTATTATCTGCTCGTGAAAAGCAGACACTTTCTTTTAGGGGAGCATATTAACTTTCAAAAATTTCAAATCATTGATACGGCCGAGGATGGGGAGAGTCAGCTCTCTCTCGAAGTGCTCTCACATGGCCATGTGCATACATCCACTGCCAGTGAAGTCCTACTCACTGTCTTCTCGCGGTGGGTGTGTTGTTTAGGGAGTTGAGAGAAAGAAAAGCGAACCAGGTTAGTGGACACGAAGGGTCTACCCAGGGGAGTTGGAAAACCCTGATTCCAAACCAATGGTGCACATGGGCTCCCGTATACCGATGGAACGAATGGCATATGAACCTATTTTCGATCATTAGCTACCACGGGACTGCTCCACTGCCTTGTGGATTAGACCATTAGGTAGAAGGCTCCGAGTGTGGTCCCTTAAGAAAACCACGTGCTCCGTTTGGGCAACCGTGCAGTATCCCATCCCTTACGCAAACCGAATAATTTTTGTGACGCGTATCTATTTTGTGCCTCCTTGTACCAATATTTATGTGTTTAAATAAATAAATTTGAAACTAGGAGGAAATTATAAAGATCCAAGAAACTACTGTTATTGTGAGTTTAAGAATCACTAAGTTGTTGATATTCAGACCTAAATTTTGGTTTGACCTTATTAATAGTCATGAATATCAACAACGAGGTCATTAGTAGTTTTGCCAGCAATAATAAGTTGCCTACAAAATACTCCCAAACCAATCAGGGACACGTAACTGACTTCAAGGTTACGGTACTTATATAGTCACGGGGGTCGTTTAGTTAACAATAAGTGTGAATTTAACGGTTGGATCGCATTATGACAAATTTCACCAAGGTAAATATAACAATATATTTACAAAGCGTTGTAATATTCAGGAAAATACCAATACGTGAATGCTGAAAGTGAAGTAACAATAAACTTATTTACAAAAATTACGAAATGTATTTGTGTTCCATTTTAATTAATGCTAATTGCAAAATTTATAGTGTTGGAATTAAGGTTAGGGCACCATATTTTATGTGCTAGACTTCGAGTCCCTATGATCCACTTTGAAGGATCTCTCATTTATGTTAATCTAATATATTCTCAGTAAATTCTTTCATTTTCTGTTAAAAATTATTCATTTACTTTTGTTGCTTTCTGCTTAACTAAAACGCGTTAAAATTTTAAAGTCATTCAGCAGTATATATAAATTCACCGTAATAATACGCACTGTGATATATGTTGAATAATTTAGTGGTTATCTGAACTCAGTAACCCAGGGAAAAACATGTCATTCGAAGTGGAAGTTACTTAGATCTAGTCTCAGTTTGAGGATCTACGTGAAGATACCAGATATATCCACATGATGGGTCTCAAACAAAACGAGACGTGCTCATCGTGCATTCCACTCCCAGGCACAGTGTATTTATGCTATAAGGCTTGAAAAATAATTTTACAACAACTTAATTTCTGAAATATCTTTTTCTAATCAACTCTTTATAGACCATTGTATCGAGATTCCTTATTTCCACTTTATTTTGATGGAGCTTCGCTCTGTCAGTTGATGGATCCGAATTCCACTAAAATCACCCACCTAAGCTGTAGATCTCCACCATTTCACTTCCATTTTGTTTTCGATAACTTTTCAGAAGTAATCTGCTGTTTTTATTCATGATTATTGAATCCCATTTTCAACCTAAAATAAACATACGTACCACAATATTCTACTTCAGATAAACTGTAAAGACAAATACTTAATGTATCATATATTTTCTATTTATACTGTCAAAAACCAAAGTCACTTTCAGATATTGCATGTCCTCTAACGGGTACAATTTTTGAGTGATTTAATCACATATTTACTTGTCAAAATTATTTTATATGAAACAGGAATAAAGTCATATAGATAAATTTTGACAATCTGAAATTTTCAACCTTCACCATCAATGTAAGCTAAGATGGTTATCATCAATATCTCATTGTTAAAGTTCAGTTTCATTCAGTCAGTAATAGGCGACATAGAACATGCTAAAACTCTGCATTGGTCTAACGTTTCCGACTGTGAAGTACGCAAATTATGCCTACTGATATACCTCAGACTTCATGGGTCCATGCTATATCCTGATCTTCCTGAGCCCCCTAACTTCTGTCCAACCTGATTTTTTATTGGTCTGTATTACACATCGGGGTAGACAGTGGTTAGTTATTCCATAACATTTCTTGACTAAACTAATCGATGAAATTTTTAGGTTTCATCTGTTGATTATTCTGGTCTCCTATGACCAACCCCAGCGTTACTTACTGTGTGGTTCTACTATGCGGCAGCAATCCCTAATTCCAATTAGATAAAATTGACTAATACAGTTAGTCTCATCAAGTAAACCAGTTTCTTAGTTATGCTTACGGATATGGCATTCTAAATAGTTGTATTGGCTTTGAGATTATGATTATGATAAGATGTGTGATCATAAACTCCTAGCGAAAAATGAATTTAGTTTCGACCTGACCTCTAAATTATTCTCTTATAAAGCTCTACTTTGTTTTTCTTTCAAGTATGGTTGTACAATATAGTTATTAAGCGCAAAAGAGATAGGATAGCTTTAAATATGAAGTTTTATCATCTCTGATTCAGCAGACTCATGTACTTGCGTTTCTGCCCATATGAGACGCGAATTGAAATAACAGCTGTACGTTTTTAAGTTGGTAATGAACTATTGCTACCGAACAACCCGATAGCGTTTGAAGTTAAAAGTACTGGGTTTGAGTCCTGGAGTGAATATCAACTCTGGGGTGCAAGTACATCCAGCTGACAAGTCGCAAATGGATTTTACTGCTAGCCACCATACATCTTTGCTTAAAACTTGCTATGTTCTTTAGTGCCAAGTGTTATTTAAATCAAATCAGCTTCAATAATCCTGACGTGCTGAATTCATCCAAGTTGATTAGTAAATATTGATTCAAAATTGTCACCGGTATTTTGTAGTTTTTTTGGCATATGGTTAACTCAAAAGAGATTTATATAGAAAAAACCTCCTTTTTCGTAGGTAACGTTCGTCGCAGAATAATTTTATTTGGTGAACTCTTAAAAACTAGGGATCACTGGACAGCTTTTCTGTCTTAGTATTGAACTTTTGAGCTGTGTCCGCTAACAATGCCACCGAGGATCAAACCCGGGGCATTTAGTTCTAGCGGTGAATATGTAGCCACTATAATTAGCTGACATCCAATGGTATAATTCCAACTTCAATCAATTCGAGTTATAGTGCGATCACCATACAGTCTCGTTGAAGATAAGTGTTTCAATAAATCTGAACCTTTTTGAAACGACTTTATCACTGTATTTGTTTTGAATTACAATTCTTCTTCAAATAGAAATTTTCTGTGTTGACACGTTTTCATGTAGATTTGAAGCAATAATTGCTGAAGATAGCTATGAAACAATTAAAATATCAAATTCGGAACAGTTAGCTGAATTCCTTGAAATGTATCCACCAGGCGATACAGTTGAGTTTTCTGAACTTCCATTTCCTAAACAGTTGTGCTTTTCATGGATGGTACCTAGAATTTATCAAACTGTTCGTGAATACATTAATTTGTGTTATCGGTTTTGTGAAAATATGGATTTAGCATACACAGAACTAGAGGATACAATTAATCGTGCTACAAATTTCCTATTCAGTCAATGTTTAAATACAGTTTTAACTTCGGGCGTTCGTTCATCTTTACGTCAATTACCTCGACTTACGCAATTCTGTATAAATTTGGATGAGTTAGAAACAGTTTGTGGGCATCTGGATAACTATCTTCAATACACCTTGCTAGATGAGGCTTCAAGTATAACCAGTGGTCGTCTAAAAGATTTCGCAATGATTAGGGTAAGTTTCTCTATCTTCTGTATTAAATATTACATTTAGAAAAGACTGTTATAAGTTTTTACTGATTTACCTTTTTTTCTGATATTGTTGTCATATATACTGAACTCTTAATTCATCATATTACTATGAATCAATATGAGCCATGTTTTTCAAGCAAATCTGTTATTCATAAAACATTTAATAACAATCGGCACTACACTTATGGGACCCCGATTGGGGCTACTACCTTGCTGTGGTGTTCGGTCTTGGATATCACAATGACCTAATCGAGTTATATTGGTTGGAACACTTATTCCTTTAGATCTTACCATCCCAGGAGAATGATAAGTTTCGAGACATCAACTTCAGGTCCGAGAACAAAGTCATCCTGCTAGCTGTACTAGTGTGTGTCAGCATTAAGGTGTTTCCCTCAAACAACCGGTTTCTGTAGCAATGCTTCCTTCTGATAACGAAATGGGGGATTAGGAAATATCAACTTTGAATGTAGCATATCTCAGCTCGCTTATCTGATCTCCATATTCAGTGGTAAGGCGTCGAAAATAAGGTGTTAACAAATCGACAACCTCAGTAGTAGTTATCATTGATTTATTGGAACATATAAACGTTGGTACAAGGGGGTACCAAATACATATACCCCACGCAATAACAATGAGGACAGTAGTAGTTATCATCCCTAATAACACTGAAAACCAAATACTCGTAGGATAACATTATGCTAATAGTGTTTTGTAACTACTGAGCAATTAGGAATAATTTTCTTAGCATTTCGCTTTTTATTTGTTGAATAAGCGTCATCATAAGCATTATTTTGTAAATGTTAGAAAGTAATACACCGAGATTCCTTACATTATAGTGAATATTTAAATAAAAAAAACACATCAAAATATCAGTGAATGGTTTCACTATAAATGTCAGATTTTGTATACTCTATTCATAAGTGATACTTCCAAAGGTTTTAGCTCATTCTGTTAATTGTTTGAAAGGTATTGCACGCCAATTGAATTGCGTTGATATTTTAACTACCGAAAATAAAACAAAACAAACAGATAACGTGAACTTTGGTCAACTCATTCATTCATGCCTTGTCGTGCTACTTTGCATAGCTGTATATATTGCAAATCGACATGTATAATTATATTAGGGTTAAGCACTTTGTGAAATATTGAAATTGATAATTAATCATTAATAAATCAGTATAAAATGTCCTAGTCCTACAATAGTAAATCAGATGGTTCCTGAATAACTCAGCGACAACGCTTCTGTCTGTAATGGAGATTCAAGTCACAATGGATCTAAACCTAGAACTTTCTACCTATTATCTCCAACCACTTAACATTAAACATAGCTGTCCGATCGATAACCTCAGTCAGTGATTTGAGACCTCGATTAAAATTGTTATAAGTCATAGTGACGCAGTACTGCCTTCCCTCTTTATCCTCCTCCAGATCTCAAATTTTAGTATCGCTTCATTTTCTATCATTCATTCTGTCTTTTCGAACTATCTTCTCAATGTTCAGTCTTTCTTATGATCATTGCTACTATATTATTTCTATCTTTTTTGATATGTTTTTATACCAGTGTTGTATGTTAATACATGTTTGTTACATACTCTATGTCGTTTATGAATAACCGAAACTTACCTGTTTATTTTGGTGATATGTAGTTTGAAACAGATAGTCTAATTACAAAGCTTTCATTATTGTTCTTGGTAACATTATCATCGCCTACTTCATGCAAATTGTTGACATGAGAAATGGAAAATAGCTTTTAAAGACGTATGTTGATCAAAAAGCATCGAGAAATTAGAAGAATATGGTATTCTAGGTTAATAACATAAATTATTAAACTCTATTTAATAATTAATAAATATAGTTAACCACCGGATTGTTTTATGGATTTATTTGTTTCGTTAATGAGGTGGTACAAATATGAGGAATTTCAGTTAACGAAATTTTCGTATCATATTGTTTACTGTATGACTGTACTATTAATATACATTCTCGTCTTGAGGATCACATGATGTCAGTGTATGATACTTCACAATAGCGAAGACTATTCGGTTTACAGCGTATTTTATTTTCACGATAAATTTTCAGTATATATGCACCTGAGTTTAAAGTTTCAGAAAAAAAACTCTTCAACCAGCTAGTGTTACAAAGTGGGATATATATAATTATTTAAGACTTTCTTCATCGTTCCACATCACCGTGTCTTGGATCACCTATTGTTTTAATTTTCCCTAATGTTGCCTATTTATCAAGTTTAAATTCCTGTACTTCATTACAAACCACATGATATTGTTTTGAAGATAATTATGCTGCCGTATTATTTAAACTGAAGAAGTTATAGCCAGGTTCCTACCACAATTCACCGGTTAAACGTCGATTGTTTTAACCACTTATCCAATACTCCCTAATTCTTCCGTATTTAATTTTACCTATCATTTACATATACTTCTCTCACAAACATCCTGGCCTGAATTCCAATGTCATTCTCTTTTCAAATATTTTTTAAAAATTAATTATTGGATTTACTTAACGTTTAAAATAATTCTAGTTCTCGTAAAATCTTTTTGTTCAGGATAATCAACGTGAAGATTCAGATATGACTGCATCAGTTACGCTAAACTCTGGAGCTAATCCACCACGTAGCCGATTACAAGGTGCATCACTACTTAAAGATATACGTGTATTAGTTGAAGATCAAATTTGTAATCATTTAAAGGATAATGTTGCAAAATTCATTAATTTAAGTAACTATGATGATACTGATGATAATAATGGTGGTCAAACTAACAATAATACCAATAAAAATGATCAATTATTAAATAATTCTCAAACTGTTGATGGACGTAATGGTGTAAGTTATATAACTAATACAAAAACTAAACCAACTGAAAATATTGTACATTTAACATCGTGGTTAAAATCAGTGTTCCATTCATTCTCAAACCTTCCGCCGAAAATCGCTCAAACTGCTTGTATATCAGTCTGTAAACATATTGCTCGTTTATTGTATGATGTTTTATTTGGTTCTCAAGTAAGTTTATATATGTTGACAATTTAACTAAATCATCTTCGTAATTCCTTCTTTTTCGTTATAATTGGTAAAAATAAACGTGAAGGTTATCAAATTTTAAGCATTGAAAACTTTTCATGCCATCAGTTGTTGTCCCATACTTTAAGTACACATAATTAAGATTTAGTGGTAAAGTGACTGAACATTGTTCAATGAACTCTAGTGCTATTTTGCGCCCTCAGTTTCGTGCGCAGATGAGTAACCTTTAGACCACTGAATCGGTATCCAATAGTATGTATGTTTAACGTCAACCGGTCCACAATATTTTCCAACTATTTCCCTTCGCTTGTTGTAGATAATTTTCTTACACTCAGAATTAGAGCGAAACCATGATCAATGGAGTTCAACCATGTGAAATATAAGACAGCTGTTCATCGTAGGCAATAAACTATTTTTTTATTTTTCAACATAGTTTTTTTCTGTTGTGAACTAAAACCAACTGCAGAAATATTGAAACGCAGAAAGCATGAAACCAGTTTCGTTTTTAGTCTAGTACTCTGTACGCAACCATACAAAACCGTAACCCCACACAAGATTGAACCGGAGATATACAGGCTTCTTGGTCAACAAGTACTTTTAAAATATTGAGTCAAAACACATTAGTTTCTATCTACAACCTCAGCCATATTATAGAAGTAGAATGCAGCCAGAAGCTATCAAATGATGTTTGCTTTCTAAGTGCTCTTTCCGTGAAATCTATCTTAAAAATACACAAATTTTTGTAGAAAGCGTATATATTTTACTACACTGGACCATTCAGAGAATTCCAAATGACACTTGTACGTGATAGGCTCAACAAATATCTTGATTTTTCCAAAGGATGAGACATTAACCACTGATAGGCTTAATTACCTAAGTGACAGACAGTTATATGTAAATAACTTCCCCACAAACCTAGCCACTCGAGAGGAGAGACAAAGAGTGAGGAAAGAAGTCTATTTGGGCTAAACCTATTCAGATGCATATATATATATAATACACAGAAAGGAATAAGAAAAAGGTTCGATCATGTATATTCATTATTTATATCATATTCCGTTGGAGTTTCAGACTTTTGACCCTATTGGTATTTTTTGCTTTCGTTTATCAACCGTATTGGAAGTTGTTCACATTTATGCATAAATCTCAATTACACCAATGTTTGTTTTGCATACACAGATTAAAATATTTTTTTATGTTATAATCAATTGATATTTGTATAATTTAATCAACTTCACTGTTTCAACTCAGATAAACTTTGTCTATACATGTTCAGTTGAATAATTTGATTAGAATATACGCTAAAAATACATCGATCATTCCTTATTGGTAATCAATGTTTCTGTTGGGATATTCAGGAAAATATCCCAAAAATTATTCTGTTAAGTCTAACGCTATCCTTGGACTTGAGATGGTGTCATTTCCTCATTGGTCCATGTTTATTTCACGTGTCATTTTCCTACTGGTCAATATTGTACAATGTTATTTTCTATTTTATGGTACGATGTGGTCTGCTTGATTAGTATATAAACAGAGTGTGTTTGAAATATAATGATTCATATCTCAGAGGCTAAGACTTGCGTTCTGGGCTCAACTGGCTGGGCTAGACAGGGAAGCGGGACCAATCGAGACTCTAGGCCGTTCATTACGTGTTTACGTGTCACTGAATCGATCAATAAAACGCTGCGCATCTAACCTGCAGTCCACACGTTACAACAGTTTCATTGTTTAATGGCCTAGACTTACGATTAATAGTTTTTCAATGTTCTCTCAAAATTATGGGATACTATTTGATAACTCAATGTTTAGTCGCTATCTTTTTGAAACCTGTAATATTTAAGGCCTCAGGCGGCTCTGCAGTATGCCATAGTCTTCACCAAACAGGAATATGTTATCTGTGTTTACTCCGTGTAGATAGGTTTGCTTAGTGTTTCTAAGTTGTCAAACTGGTTTGCTAAAGATTTTCATAAAAATGATCAGTTTCTCTAAATCTCAATTTTTCAGACTTATATATACCACTTATTGATAAAAGTACCAATAGATATTACGTTGTATAATTCAAGACTTCTGTATTTTTTTACTGGAATTTTCAATTCATGGTGTAGATCTTTTTGGTTTTAATTTTTTACAAGATTTCCTTTTATTTCCTTACAGCATTTACTTTATATTTTAGGTGCGTTCTCTTTCTGAAACGGGTCTTCAACAATTAAGTATTGATTTATCTTTGTGTGAATCATTTGCACGTTCACAACCTGTTCCAGGCCTAGATCGTACTACTCTTTGGTTGATTTTTGCTGATTTAAGACAGTTATTGGATTTATATCACAAAGATGATTGGACTTCATACATTGCATTTCGTAAAAATGTTACTGGTTAGTAGTTATCTTTTTTATGTGTTCTGTGAAGTTGCTTGAAATGTACATACTGTATTATTTCGTGCTTACTTATTTTGTTTCTAAGGTTTGAATGCGGCATTACAGATACAAATGTTGGTCGATAAACAAAAGTTATAATAGTAGCTTAACCCAGTGTTTTCATACTGATCTGTTGTCGACTGATGTGGTATTGAAGGTTAATGATACTTAATGGATTATATTACATGTTCAAGCTCTTAAACACCGATTTTAAAACTGCGTAGCTACTATAAAAAAGCTCCCTTTAAATTTGTTTCAGAAAAGTATCTGTGTATTTAAATTGCACACAAGGTCTACAACTTATCATGATACTCATTACAATAAGATAGAACCAGGAAAATCACAACAGTTGGTACGTTTTTGTTCTTGTCTGCTCTTTGAAGAAGCGAGGTCTGCTCTGGAATCAAATAATTGAGTATATATTGTGCGGTACGAAAATGATCATAAACTTCATAACTGAAGGTGAAATGACTGACTAACGTTGTTAACATATTCTTTCATACGTATTTCGTAAATAATTAAATATTATATATACGTTAATAGATCCCAATCTATTGGAATATCGCACATTTTTAGTTAAGAACTTTTCACTTCAACCAAAAATAAAAGTGTTGATTATGTCATTCCAAACTTGGTAGCTAGATAGTACAATACGCTCTGTAAGTTGAAAGACTTCAGCTGAACGTACTCATGACTTCAAACAGTAGCTAACTGAAGATGTTAACAAGCAGCATGAGCATCATTTAATATCATTGGATTTCAGCTCGGTCGCTGAATGACGTCGTATTCCAAAGATCCTGTGCACTTCATAGATATGCTCAATTTCTTAATCAATCTCAAACTATCATTAAAAGGCTCTTCACTGGCACTTTTTAATGGTTTCTCAGCCGTTGTCCGTTTATGAAAAAAGATCTATGTAGTTTTATTACTTTCTTAATGTCTTGAGTAGAAAATAGATATGATTTTACTGCTTTCTCGTTAGTGATGACTCCGTTATTATTCACTGAATACTGATAATGTACGCTAGTGATAACCTCAACTTGTAAACTAGTCACTTCTATCATAATTTCCAGTCCTATGTTCATGATTTATCTGCAAGATACTTTGTATCAGATTTTAAAAAATTAGTAGTAATAATCACGCACATTTTTTGTAATTAAATTTATTTCTCATGTGTCTACCTTTTCTAAAGCATGAGATACACACCATCGGTGTATAAATATAGTTTACGTTTCGAGGGGGTATATATAATTTCTCATTTTGGCGGGCCAACCAAAAGCGTCCTCACTCAACTAGCCATCTGGGCTCACGAATAAGAAGATTGTTTATTGACATCATACAACCTAACAATTACCCTTTATGTAGCAATTTTGTGTTTATTCTCCACCACATACCTTAACGTCCATTGTCAGTCGACATAGCACGTTAAAAATGTGTTTGGTGTAGGCACATTAGGACGTGAATAACATCAATCCTAAAAGCCATTAACTGCCCAAACTTTCTGGTTAGGCCCCACAAAACTGTCATGAATTCTCTAGCGGTTGGAGACGTTAAAATTACGTAGCCCAAAATGTTTCACTATATGTAACATCATCATTCCTTAATCTTATTTTATCCTTTCTCAAGTTAAGATTTTCATTGCAGTCGATATAATCTTTTCTTTGTTTCGCATCATTTTAATTTTCCATCTCTCTATGTTGACATGAATTGTGGTAACTTGCTTCGATATATATTCCTAGCAGGCCTTATATTGATGATAATTGGCAGGCTATATATTTTTCCCCATGGCTCTTTTACATAATGTTTTGTCTCTCACTTAAAATCGATTGATGATAAACCATTTTCTTATTCTAGATAAAGCTGTCAAATAATCTGAAAATAAGTTTGCTGTATTTTAATTTAATTCAATGTGATTGTATTTACCGATATGTTACTTACGTATTTATTCATAAGATCATTGTATTTAAAAAATGACGAGGTTATTCACATGATCAAAATTCAAGTAAACTAATCAAATAAGATTTAAACAAATAAATTCTACAAAAGAAATACTATGATCAACAAGCTGAAAATATAACTGTGAATATTTATTAGTTTGAAATAGTAATATGTAAATGGCAATTAAGAAAACCACAAGTTTATTCCATGGTTTAAAGCATGGTTCTAACAAATTGTTACTGTATCCACAACACAGATTTTGAATTATGAATAATTAAAACTTTCTCAACATAATGTATAGTTTCAGGTATACATCTTTTGATATGTTTGACTTGATTCTGTAAATAATAAGTCATAGGCTGGAATGTCTTATGTCTATTATACATTGTAGAATACATGATATTATTTTCTATACTCGTTTTTCACTTAATGAACTGTATCCCACTTTTCATATTCCAAAAAAAAATTATTCTTATCTATTCTTTTTTTCCATAAAAATTTTGTTTAGGATCGGGAAAATATGGTAAGTTTTAAAAAAAGGATTGTGGTACTTTTTTTTCAATGAATAGGTATTTTTGTCTTTTTTTTGACAGAAAAATAATAGAGATGAGTGTATTTTTGTTGGAAAAATTTCATCTTGATAAGTCTTGCTAATTGAACGCTATATTCGATTCTTAAGCTATTCTCGTAACCCCCAAACTAGAACAATACAGCGACCTGAACACGAGATAAAAGGTGCAAAATATGCGAGAAGCACTCTACTTCAAAGGTTCGTTTTAGTACAAAAAATATAGGGTTTTTATAGTTTTTTTTTAGATGTCCCCGGGTTTCCCGAAGATTCTAGGATGCTACTAAACATAGTAGCAGTATAGTAATCAGCCAATCAGAAACTCTACATGTGACTTTTCACTTTCTTGATGTTTTTAGCTAAACTTCTACTGAACGCTGATTGGACAAAATGCTTCTTAGTGTTTCCTGAGCCTTTCTTGTCTTTTGAGAGAAGTTTTCTGGATCACCCCAACACATCTAATGGTTACATAGATAAATATATTAGAAAATAATAATAACTTATTAGTTACAAATTTTTACACTCAGCTCTAACCTACACTTTGAATTGTGTATTGACTAATGATTACTACTGTGGACTGCCTAAATTGTATTATGATAAGTGTTTATTTATTTACTTGAACACATAAATATTGATATAAAGGGGCACTCAATATATATGCGCCACACAAGTCACTTGATTTATGTGTGGGCTGTGATACTATCCATGTACCTAGACCGAAGCAGGTGGTTTCCTTAGGGGGCCACATCCCGAGTCTTCGAGCTGAAGGTCTGATCCACAAGGCAGTGGAGGAACGTTGGGAGATGCAGTTCCATCGTAGCCGGTGACCAACGATAGGTTCATACGCCATTTATTTCCTTAGAATCCTGGAGCCCTTGTGCACCATTGGTTTGGAATCAGGGTTTTCCAACTCCCCTAACTGGATGGTCCATATCCACCAACCCGATTAAAGCGCTGGGCATTCACTTTTCATCCTCTCCGTTTCGTAAACAACACCCGCGGCGCGAGAAGGCAGTGACTGTATACACGCGACTATGTGACAGCATTTCGAGAAGGAGAGTTGGCTCTCCCCACACCGTACCATGCGTTAAGTAGAGTTTAAATCTATGCGACGCAAGGGTTGAAATCTTTTAACTACTAAGCTACTGTTTTATGATGAATAAGTATTAAATCCCTTGCTTTATTACAAACTAACAATTTGTTAACAAATACATATTGTACTAATTACTATACAAATAAGCTGTAAATAATTAAATCAAAGGATTTTATTGTCTTTTGTATTGAGTTCATTTTAATCTCTTCTGAGCAAGTTTAATGAGATAACTCTTAAGAAACTAATTATTGTTCAAATTATTTTTTAGTAATGAAATGTATCGTGCAGATTTATAAACTATCAGACGATATTTTAATGTACACACAGTGATGATATTTATCATTTAAGTTTCCTCCTACAATATGTAAAATCTACTTTTGGTACATTTTAATCTATCCTACATAAACACAAATCTTATTTCTATAATGTAATTCATATATACAATCATTCTAGGATTATAAACTTTTCATTATTGTCTTTTGTTTTCCAAGCAACATTTGGTGGAACAATTTATACAACGAATTGGTATTAGACTTGAAAGTGATAAGAGTTATTGTAAAAATATTAAGGTTCTTTCCTAGTTTATCTAAGTGAAGTTTTACTAAAATACAATTTACAAGTTAATTTCAATATCTTTATAACACAAATATTGTGTATGTTTTTTTTTAATTATTTCAATTCATTAATAGGCAGTGCTTATGATCGTGTTCCACCGAGTGTAGCAATTAAACTATTAGAACGTTTACGTGATTCCGATAAAAAACGTACTGGATTCCTTCAAGCAATGCGTAAAGAGGAACGTGGTCGAAAGAAAAAACTCGAAGATATAATTCGTCAATTACGTGAATTAAATGTTACACCTCGAAATAATTAATCTTAAAATTTCAGAATTAGAAAGGGAAAGTAATGGAACTTATCTAGAGCGGAATATCACCATTTCTCTTATTTGCTTTATACATATTCAAAACAGCTTCGTCAGTTTCCATGCTGTTTCATATATATATATATATATATATATATATATATAAAGCCTACATATTTTCATGTAAAAAGTTACACACTAATTTTTTTGATTTATATGTTCTTTTGTTTCTTTCATCACCAAATATGTACACATAAATTTGTAAAGTACTACATATTTTTTATTTATAGCTGAAACAATACAAATGTTAATTCCTTGATTACACAATGGTTTTTTTAAATGAAAATTCATTTTATTTCGATGAAAATAAGTAAGTGAAGATAGACTAAAGTATGTAGGAAAAACTGACCTCCAGGAAATGGACGTGTATAACCAATGCGTTGTAATTTGTTGTGATTCATAATTTCTGACCTTTTTGTTTTAATTGCATTTTAGGTATGAGAACTAGTGATACCGGTAATATGCAAACTAAATTGAAGTCTCCTGAACCTGCCACTATACAGTTAAATGTCTTAACCACTAAGCCATCTCCCCATGTATGAAATGGATTACCTTGGTATCCTTAATTATGGTGTAATATTATGTTACATTAGGTACTGAATGTATTCAATTTACAAGACTGACTGACTGACAAGAAGCTTATCAATTGTTTTTGACCGTCATATCATAATCATTTCGAGCAACAAATATATGTCATACTTTATTAAGAGATTTCTATGAGGACTGAAAAGTGGACAATATAACATTGAATCTTTCCTGAAGAAATTAGTTAATGCGTTCATTGGGTATGACATACTAAGTTATTGTGTGTTGATATGGTGGTAATTTCATTAATGCTTGTTGTTTCGTGAATATAATTGGAAAGATCTAGAGACTTCGTATTTCACATTAAACATAGTTTGCAAGAGTGTGACTGTTTTGAGTTTTCTCTTGTTGGCTTTATGTCAGTAATAAAATGCCTTATTTTTATCAAGTGTATTGTTCTACAGCATTTTATTAATGCCATGATAGACAATAGTGAATAGTGATTGGTCATCTTGTGATCTTTATTTTTGTCGTCGATTTATTACTTAACACATAAGTAACTTACAGCCACGCAATTCATGTTTAATAACTCTTCATATATTTAATAACCCGCATTCCGGAATACATGTTCATGTAGCTAGTCCGTTGATCAGTGAACAAATATAACATACCATACTGATAACTTGGTGTGGTAGCATCTAGTAAGACCAGGTTTATCAGTGCTGAAATATGAGCTGGATAGGATGTAAACAAATGAGGTGTATAACTTTCAGACACTATAGATACTAAATAATTGCCTGTTTTCAAATGCAGTCTGCAGTTACCTGTGAGGTTTTCGTTTGTTTACTTGGAAAAATAGCAATCATAAATAAAGCTTTTCAATCCAGTGATTATCTTTTAAATTGCAAACTAGAACAGATTTTGAGTGACATTCCCATTAGGATACAGACAAAACGTGTTCATGAAACTTATAAAGTCATATGTAATAGTGATAAGATATATACATATCTTTTCTCTTATCCCATCTCCTACTTTTCTTCTGTACAATAAATTGCTCGGAATTTAATGCATTTACAGTGTGCGATTCGGACTCTTAACCTCGCCTATTAACAAATATTTAAAAAGCCGGCAAATGAAATTCTCATCATTTGATTTAATACTGTACCCAACAAATCATCTTTAGTATTTACTTGATTTTCATAAACATTGTATAATATGTATTTACATTAATGCGGTGGATAATATGAAAGTCACGATCAGGGATATTTGTCATTCCCAAAACATTTGGCGAAACTTCTACTTAAAAACTCACTATCTGCCCTAAACACTTACAAAGATCACACTGTTTCTTATTTTCATGTTTACAAAGCGCATGAATGTTTGAAAATACATTCTAGGTCATAAACATTGGGGAGTCAAAAAGTATTATCATTTTTTAAAGCATATAAACCATTCCTAAACTAATGCTCCAATAAAATATCCCATATACAAAAATGAGTGGCGCTTATGGTATGCAAGCATTGTCTTAATAAGGTCGTATGAGTTACGGTAATTGTGGTTAAGGAACCTCTCAGTTTAGTCGCTAGTATACATTATCAGGAACGATACGGTTTCGGCAACCCCTTATTGGAAGACTCCAGGTCTACAAAACTGGCGACCACAAGGTGAAAAGTACAGCTGCCTATTGGTTAGGAATTAGTTTTTCATTCATATGGCTGGAGAGTTAGGAATGAATTAGATTATTTGCATCAGAAGTTAGTAATTCCTGGACAAGATGGAGCCAATATAGTCTCTTTTTAATGGTCAAGCATTCCAGTTATATTGCGCGATAAGTGTTGTGATTTATGCTTCTACCAGCAGATAATAGATGAAAACTTACTAAGTGATTTTACTTGACTAGTCGAATAATGTGACTAAGTTTTAGGAAATACTATTTAATTGCAACCTGTTTCATGAACTTCAGCGTGGTGGATGAGTTCACGGAACATTCGGCATCTTCAGTTTATCCCTGTAATAATTAATTTAATTGTAAGGGTAGAGTACAAAAAAGTGGAGTATTTTTCAAACTACGATAATATAACCTCAATATATACATGCTATTTTACAGCTTACGTTATAACTTTAGAACAGTTTATCTAGAGTTTATTTAGTTTTGTAACAATTAGGATCCTGATTGCTTGGTCGAATGCAACACAAACTGCCAATCCTAGTTTGTCTGGGCACCAATCTATGCTGCATATTGGTTGAGTGGACAAGGTGACATTCTGAAGCTGAGTTAAGTGACCGATTACACCTTGTGAGACTTCGATGTCGCCATTCCCCGCTGGATCTGCTTCCTTCACTATCTTCTGACGTTTGCTGGGATAATGGTACTGCCATAAGCATAAGGATCCATTCCCACCAGCAGTCATAAATATATCACGTTGCTGCGGTAGATGGCTTACCTGCCAAATAGTAGCTCCTTGATTTTTTTCGACTAATGATGCAAACCCTTTCTTCGGATGTTGTGTTCGCATATCCCATACATGTATTTTTCCTTCTAATGTAGTCGCGACCAGTTTATTCATAGATATATCTTTCCTATCAAACTGTAGACAACAGACACCGTTCTTTATGTTCGTCTCCCAACGGACCTTCATGGCTCGTAAATCAAATAACTTTATATCACCATTATCATAACCTGCAGTAAGGCATCTATCGTGCTTATTATATGCGTGGCCAAATGCAACAGTCCAGCAATCCCGTCTATTTTCAGTAACTGAGTTTTCTCTACCATCAGATGAAACAGGTTCCATAGTTGCTACTGGGAGTTTAGCTTGTCTTGGATCCCACACCTTGACTACACCATCTCTACTACCTGTGGCAATTTCTGGAGCCCCTTCACCAACTCCAAGTCCTCCAACACCGTCTATCGCATTTATTATCTCTTTATGCGCTTGAACGCCGTAAATTGGATTATCAAGGCGTCCATCAATACTAATATCCCATATTGCTAGTCTTCCGTTAAACGCTCCAGTGGCTAAATGTCTTTGGGGGAGCATGGATGCACCAAATGTACAACATTTGAAAGAGCTACTTTTTTCACTCTAAAAAATATGAAACAACCACAAGGATTAAATTAGTTTCGAATGGACGAAAAAAAGACATGTCATTTCGAGAATAATTTGAGATTTTAATAAAACAGTTGTGCTGTTCCTTAGAGTGCAAAGATGTTTTTTTAAACTTAGACTAACACTGAATGGCATTTGATATCTTATGACGTAGGCGACATGTATTTTTACCTACCGAGGGTTGAGTACATTGAGCGGGTTCGTAACAATTTCATGGCCATAAAAAAAGGCGTTGTAACCAAAAGAAATTCGTAGGCCGTATGTTTTTGATGCTATTTAACAATAATAGTAATATATTGCTTGGTTATAGACTATCACAAACTGTAGTTGAACTAGACATAAATATGCACACAAAGGCTTCATAGGAAATGTTTTGACCGCACCCAAGTACCATTTTAGAAGTAAAACATATCTTTTGCCTGACACTTGATTCAGTGTCATTTCATCATGTGGTATCATCGACTGTCTACATTTTGAAGATGTGTATTAATTGTATGCTTTAGGTTAGCATGATCAATCAAGTCACCTAATTTCCTATGCTAAAAACAAAAACTTTCTTAGCTATGTCAAACCATTTGTTTATAGCTTGGCCATTTTGTCTGCGTGAAAACACTAACACACTCGGGTTACAGTTAAAACCGCCTAATTACAATTAGGGCTTCACAGAAGCCCCAATAATAGATCCCAGCGGAAACTGATGTATAACATGCTTATATATGACATATCTTTGAAATTTGACCAAGTCTTACTTCGGATACCAGTTGAATATCTTTCGCAGAGACATCGTATATTTGAATAGCGCCAGTTCCTCTAGGCTTTGAACCAACAACTACAAACTTGGCACTAACTGGAATCCATTTACAATCGAAAAGCGTGAAGTCGACAGACTTAGTTATATGTGCTATCATTTGCGGCTTGTCCATTGCGTGTAACCTAGGTAGCAAAGTAACGTACACAGTTGTATTAGGACAATGCTGAAGGTCATAAAAATGTAAATGTAGTAACTTCAGTAGTTTTAAATTGGTATCAGCAATTATTTCATACAATGATATCAAAATAGATAATATCTGTGCAAAGTGTTTTCTGTGGTTGTCATCCGTAGGTTTACAGCGACGATTCATTACCAAAAGATATAGTTATGAAGATAAAGAAATCCTTAACATATACATTTTTGTAAGCCTTCAAAGTAAGTTTTAATTACAATAATTTTACTGAATATTTATTTTTCCTCGGAGAAGGTTAGCTAGTTATCACCAATAAATCGCGTTTTGATTTATTGTTGAAGGTTTTTGCTCTTACTAACCCATGTTACTTTAAAACGTTATCTTTGGATACGATGAAATAAGTCTATCATCTTAACCATCATCTCTTTCTTCCTTGTTTTTCTTCAGATAATTTGTGGAGGGATATTTAACTACTGGTATATCGCTGCTTTGCTATATCCTAGACATTGGAATGTTGTGAAAGATAAGATGCGTTGTGTTCGAATTCCAGCAAACCAGTCTACGGTATGCAACATCTTAGTGTAACGACAATTGAGCTGTAAATTTTTTCTCGCCTGATTTGGGACACAGAATATAGTAATCTTGAGTTTGGTAGTTGTTTTCTCTTTGAATTAAATACAAGGCCTTTCGCAACTACTGCAGTACTATTTTGATAGGCTTGAGAAATACTGAGGGAAGCACAGATAATTCTGATGAAACTTGAGTGCCGAGTTTAATTTCCGATACGTTCTTCGACTGAGTTTGCCTGAGCGTAGTGATATTAGAAGCTGAATACTTATTGTGTTGTGGATACGAATGTTTCGGATTTCGATTAATTATCTAAATACATAATTCCATCATAACCTTAAGTGCAATGTGTCTCCCACTCACGAGTGGATCTAGTTAAAATAATGCTATACTTTCGAAGTAGACATCGGTATTACTTTACAGTTTGAATTTTCTAAAATGTACGGTAATTCACTGTGTGTTGTTTATCAGCATTGCTTACTAACTTAAAATTCTCCGTTTCAGAGATTTGGAGCCCACGATAATTTATAATTGGTTCTCTTTACTGGCAACGACACATGAGGTTTACCATACAATTCTAGTCCTTTCTTGTGATGGTTTCTATTATCTATATCATACCCAATACTAGCATCAAATGATGGTAGTAAAATAAAACTGTTCTTCTGCTCACACGATGAGGACGTTTGAAAAATACATGAGGTAGTAGGATCTAAGACTACGATCACTACTGATAATCTGACTAGTTTTAATAAACTGATAGTTTAAATTATTCATAATGAAACCATTTAAGCTGTGTAATCCTCGGTCGATGTCAATAAATTATTTATCCTGGCATAACTTACCGTGATGTCATGTTATCCTTCTTCTTCTCGTCCAACGGAAAACAAAAATGGTTCTATTATACGCAATATAAAGATGAAAGTATGAATGGAGTAATCCACCCCTGCTTTCAGTATGTATGGTCTCCCAAAGTTAGTCATCCCCTATCTCCTACTTTCACTAACCATTCAACTCCCAGTTTTAAATATTCTAGGATAATGTATAATCACGTCAAAAGATTATTTGGTTGCAGTTCAGTGTTATTCTATTGTCCCTTCAGAGAATAGAGACTGTTCATTACCCGATTAGTCGTTGAAAAGCAAAAGAACGTTTACTCATTACAAAATACTCTTTAGTGGTGACATCGGTGAGTTGCCTTTAATTCACCAACCAGTTCAAATCAAATGACGGTCCCTTAAGATTACTTGCACAAAACCCAGGAAAATGATGTAATAACTAACAAGAGTCGTACACTTGTTTGTATAATTTTATCATTACTTTCTCACTTGGCCACATTAAGTATATGGGCGTTAAAAAAGCCAACATATAGGCTTAATTATGTCAAATATGGTTAGCTGAAAATGAGTTATTATTATTATTATTAGGTGTGCATTTTGCTGCAAATCGTTCATGTCAATGATTCAAGTCCGCTTTAACAGTATATGGAATTAATCTCTCTCTCTCTAGTCACTGCTTAGACTTCGTTTGTAGCTACTCCGAGGCTACTGCTGGTTCCATGCCCCGATCAACGAGGAACGTCGGTCATGAGATCAGCAACAGCATCCCGTAGAAAACAACATTGCTAAAAACGCTAACCAGTAAAGTGAAATATTGCATGGCAAGACAAAATCGCTTAAAATTAACTTACAGTTGAAATCTTGTGAGGCAGCTTTTGTAAATGTCTCACTAGTTACAGTATCTTTTGAACTAGGAATATGTTGGGATATTCAGAAAAATTTCCCAAAAATTATCCTGTTAAGTCTAATGCTATCCTCGAACGTGAAATGGAGTCATTTTCTTATTGGTCAATATTTATTCCACGTGCCGTTCCCCTACTGGTCAATATTTATTTCACGTGTCATTTTCCTATTGGTCAATATTTATGGTAGTCCTAACTGTACAAATATGCATTTGTCTGTAAATTATTATTCCTATTCCAATTACACTAGGGACACTCGAATGTTTATAGAGTTGTCAGGGTTACCTACTTGAATCCTATTACACAGTTTAATTCGGTACAATTGTAAAAGAGTTTGTGGTTGTTTTCTTATCCAAGAGGCTTCACTAACATTTAAATTTAGTAGCTTCAGCACTGGAAGTATGTGGTATACAGAACGTAATATAGACACCCGTTTATGATGGGTTGTGAGTGTTGTAAACATTGCTCGGTGGGGCTGTGATACGAATATATCAGATTCAGCAAGAAATGTCTTATCTCTAGATTGACCGCTATTATGTTAAGACATTCTATTATCTCTGAAGTATAATTATGTAGTGACATTGGTTCTAACCACATGATCTTTGAGGCTGAACACAGAATAACTGAGAAAATTCACATTCAACACTCATCTGGGAGGGTCAAATCTAGTCACTTTGATTTAGTTTGAGAAGGACATTGGCTTTGATAGATTGTGTAAAAGCCGGTGGTGGGTCTCTTGGACAATCCAATTATCTAGTTGATACATCAATAGATGAGGCTAGAACCGTGTGTTGAGGCAATGCGTTTCAGTGACCGATGAAACATGGATAGACTTCGTGGTATACCAACAAATATTCTGAAAGCCATAAATAAATCATATCTAGCCCTTCTGTATCGCACGAATAATAAGCTCCTTTAGGAATGTTTCTTGTCACTTGACAGCTTCAAAATCTAGAACTTAACTGTGGTTCTTCGGACACTTTTTAATAGCCTACATATTTATTCAGGAGTTTTAAGCTTTTACGTAATATTAAAGAAATAAACTTCTAGCTCTTCTAGAGCCTCGATGGACAAGAAGGGTTAGGTATAAGGGCAGTTTTGTCTTTATGGGCCCACTGTTTATCACGTAATCTATTCGCCAATCAAAATACGAATTATTCTCTGTTATACTGTACGAGACCAATGACGTCCAACCGGCCTGACTAGCATAGAGTCCTACTGGTCCGTTGCTCGCCTAACCCGCCCATCTGAGTCCAGAATGCCAACAACGGCCTCCACTATAAGAACCATTTATTTCAGACATAGTGGGTTTATATACTGAACAAACAGACCGCAATGCACCATAAAAAAGGAATAAGATTCATACACAATAAAGCCAAAAACGTGGCTGTGAACGTGGGAGGCAGTAGCCAATAAACTGAACATAGCTTAAGAACAGTAAATCATACAAAAATAACTTATAAGTGAAAATATAGCTCACAACAAGGGGAATGTAGGTATACATAACCTAGTTAATGAATATGCATACCATAAGAATTTATACATAATATTAGTCCATTAATAGGTCTCAGACGTAACTCGTAATGTAATCTTCATAAGAATATAACAGTCAGCATCCCCGTTCCGTGCAAAACGACCCTACTAAAAAGGAACGCTAACCAGAAAAAATGAATCAAACCATTTAAGCTCTGCTATGGGAGTTGACGGAAAAATTTTGACGCATCATGAAGATAGCAGAGGTTCTTCGGGAGTCACGAGACTGATGCTCCTTATAACAACCAAGGCAACAATTTTTATGGGTACGTGGAACTTCCGGGAAATATGATAAACTGAGAGGACCAATCAAATAGCAACAGAAATGAGGATATACAACATGAAGCTTCGAAGAATCAGTGGAACACATTAGAATGTTCAACACACTCATGTAAATGTTCTGCTGCTGTCCAAAGAAGCACTTATTAGATAGGAATCTCACGGATCCAGGATCATCAAAACATTCTTCAAAGCAAAGATAAAGAAAGTCACAATAGAGGTTATCCTGTGTTATGCGTCCACCAATGATATCAGAGACGACAGTGAGGATCAGTTCTACGAGAGGTTGCGATCGATCATAGAGGAGTGGCCAGAAAAAGACCCAAGTACCTGATGGAAGACCTGATGTGAAAACACAATAGCAAACAGGCAAGTGAAGAGTAGCATTATACCTGACAGGCAGGAATACATGGGAGAGCTAGCAACGACAGCTTAAAAGGCTGCAAGAGAAGGAAATATGAAACAACTGCGTGACGCGACGAAGAATCTGGAAAGAAAATATACAAACAAGGAAGACCAGTCGGGGACAAGGAAGGCAAGCCGATCCAAGAACAAAGGAACAGATGGGTGAAAAACTTTGAAGAACTCTTGAATAGGCCAGATCTATTGAATCCACCGGAAGTCGAAGCAAAACCTGCAGACCTTATGGTTGTCGGTGCACCAACGATCGAAGAAATCAGGACAACCATCAAACAAATCACGAGTTGTAAACCAACAGGACCTGACAATATGCCAGCTAAAGCACACTAGTTAGACGTAGAAGTAACTGCAAACATGCTCTGCATTCTACTCAAGATTTGGGAGGAGGAACAAATGTCGACAGACTGGAAAGAAGGATACCTCATGAAAATACTAAAGGAAGGAGATCTGAGAAAATGTGAGCACTACAGAGGAATAAAACTACTATCGGTACCTGGAAAGGTT